AATACATAGAATCGGTCGTGTAGCAGCATAGCACTGGCTGCTGCTAGGGAAGGGGATTTGCAGCTTACAGCAGCCCTGACTGACAGCAGGCCACGTGATAGACCAGACAGTGGTCTAGGGGAAAGGTCACGGAAGGGGCACATCGAGAATCCGCTAGTAGGTTCCAGAAGGAGGCGTGGCCGCGGGCGGAGCCAGGCCACGCTGGCAGTAAAAGAAGGGTCCCTGTAGGGGGCCTCGGGGCTGTCGTGTGGAGTGGGATCCCGTCGTGTTGCTGGAGTCTTCGCCGTCGTGTTTGTCTTCACCAACTCGGCGTCGCCAGTCAGGCAGTCTACCAGCCGTCCTGACTGGGAGCCGTAGTTGAAATAGTGACGAGTTATAAAGTTTTCACTGTCAGGCCGTGTTAATAAACAGAGTGCCTCCTACTCTTAGTGTCTCCGAGTCAGTCACTACACACGTATTAATACACACACTACACCTGTACTGAATTATAGGCCGCAGCACCAACACCCGTGCGTGTCTAGGTAAAAAAAATAAAAATTAATAAAAGTAAAATAAAAAAGTAAAATAAAAATTAATTATTTTATTTTTATTTTACTTTTATTAATTTTTATTTTTACCTACGTGACTTTACCGAAAAACCCAAGAATGGGAATTTAATTATTTAATTACGTGGAAAGCATTAAGCTACAAAAACATTGAACCCGTGAGAAAATGCCCGAATCTGCTGATAAGACACGAAGACAGTCGAAACCGGTGGAGAGTATAAATTGTTTAAACAAATGCGGTTACGTAACATTTTCTCGAAATAAAACGTGCACTGGGAAAGAAAAGGCATCTAAAGAGAAAAACGTGTATTATGGATGATATTGGTCGCGAAAGCCGACGTGTTAAACTGACTCCGAAGGACTTTACGCGCTGTACTTTATCTCTCACGTGGAGAGACACACGGATGTGCGTTCCCTTATTTATTTCATCGTGAATTATGATGCTCGCCTACAAAATCGGTCCTCGTGCGATAACAGCGCCAACCTTGGAAGGACAGGCATTACTCTATATCTGTCACAAGTTCAGCACCACATCCGTCAACACCACTGCGCTGAAGAGGTGAACAAAGACAAAGACAAAGATCCCCCGTATAGCCTTAACAGACTGTAGGGGCAAGTGCTGTTAGCGAGCACCTATGAAGGCCGGAACGGTACACGAGGGGGTAGGTGGCCAGCACCACGCCCGACCGCCTTTGTCTCCCTAGCGGCGATGTTTACACACCGCACCAGGTACTCATTTAAGGCTGAGTCGACCTAGGGGAGGCCCAGGACCGGTTCAGATAAAATCGTCACTGGTGTTTGCCGTGAGCGGGAATCGAACCCGGGTCGCCAGGTTCATAGTGCAGCGCGCTAACCGAACACACACACACACACACACGTATATACATATACAGACAACACTGCAGGCAACGGTCCTTCATCTGGTATTACGAATAGAGGCTATCGGCCGAAACGTCGTGCGCTAATATTAACACCTTTGCACCAATGCAAATGCAATGACTCCAAAACATGTTTGTCTAAATTCGCAGATTATCACTTTATTTTTTTGCGGGAGGAAAAACGTCATTCCCTAATATTCGTCGAATATTTATTTCTGTTTAGCCACGTGGTGGGTAGCTGTTGTGCACGCGCCCTGCAGCCCACGCACTGTGGAGGCAGCAGCGAGGGATGGGTGGATCACCAACACCTACGCCGATGAGCTTGCCGTACCCTGTGGCTCTGCCGGGTGAAGCCGGAACAGCCAGTGGACTGATCCCCGCGTGGTCAGTCTGCAGGGGCCGTAGTTGTTTGCCTCCTTTCCACGCGTTGGGTTTGTCCGGCCGCTTTCCGGATTTTATTTTTTATGGTTTCATGCTACGATTTTAATGTAAAAAAAATTGTCAAACATCTCGAGCTAAAGGTATTCCTGAAATCAGTTTCGACTCCGTGGGAATGGGACGCAAGCGTAGGATTGATCACCCTGTCGCTGGCCGCCTTTGGGGAGGGTGTATGGTGTGAAAGGCCGAAACACCCTAGGAACCAAAGGGTCACTACTGACGATGCGCTCCCCAAATTTCACCAGGCTCACTGTTCATGAACTCTTGGAAGTGCTTGCACAAAGGATAGTAACATCTCATCCTGTGTTCTTGGAATCTCGTGGGTAAAGGTTGCAATGTTTAGCGTTGGCCGAATTGGACATCGCGACGGCTACAATCTGCATGGCTACTACAGTCGACCCTATCGTTATCACGCTTTGCTTTAATGTCCGCGATAAAACTAAATAACCCAACATTTCCTCTCACACCTCCAAACACCCATTCATTGGCCGATAACATCTGGCAATGTAGAGGACCGCAGAGCTCAGTGTGCGGCCAAATTTCGCACCGGTGAGGGTTGGGAGCGACGGAGGGAGGTGGAGGGAGGTGGGGGCAGGAGGAGGGGGTTGGGGGCAAGGCAACACGAGAAAAGGCAGCTGCACCTTAATAATGGTCAGCCCTTTATCGATCCACTGCTGGATGAAGACCGGCCTCCCCATGCCGTGTCAGTCATTGTGAGGTGTGGCTTGGCGAGGGGGCGAATTGTTTTGATTGTGGGGAAGACGAAGAGTTCAGATGACACTCATCCGTGGTTCCTCCCCCTCCTCCTCTTGGTGCCTCTGAGTCGTCCCCACCTCTGTCTCTCTCTCCGTGAGCGAGAAGCGATGGCGATGATGATGACCTCTCATTGTGTCCCGAGATGCCCCAGAGGAAACAAAAACGCCAAAGCAGCAGCTGCAGCATTCTCCCAACAAGGCCCGTCGCTCGGTGAATGTACCGGCGAGACCCCAAAACGTGCGGTTTGAGAGTTTACGACGTTCATTTATTCCTTTTTACGGTTTGATTTTTAAAGGCTAAAATTAATAACAAACACCCTCCCTCCTCCCTCCTCCTCCTTCCTCCTCCTCCTCCCTCGTCCCTCCTCCTCCCTCCTTCCTCCTTCCTCCCCCTCCTCCTTCTCCCTACTCCTCCTCCACTTCCTTCTCCTCCTTCCTCCTCCTCCTCCCTTCTCCTCCTCCCCTCCCTCCTCCTCCTCCCTCCTCCTCCCTCCTCCTCCCTCCTCCTCCCTCCTCCTCCCTCCTCCTCCATCCTCCTGCCTCCTCCTCCCTCCTCCTCCTCCCTCCTCCCCCTCCCTCCTCCTCCCTCCTCCTCCCTCCTCCTCCTCCCTCCTCCTCCCTCTTACCTTCCTCCTCCCTCCTTCCTCCTTCCTCCCCCTCCTCCTTCTCCCTACTCCTCCTCCACTTCCTTCTCCTCCTTCCTCCTCCTCCTCCCTTCTCCTCCTCCCCTCCCTCCTCCTCCTCCCTCCTCCTCCCTCCTCCTCCCTCCTCCTCCCTCCTCCTCCCTCCTCCTCCATCCTCCTGCCTCCTCCTCCCTCCTCCTCCTCCCTCCTCCCCCTCCCTCCTCCTCCCTCCTCCTCCCTCCTCCTCCTCCCTCCTCCTCCCTCTTACCTTCCTCCTCCTCCTTCCTCCTCCCTCCCTCCTCCTCCACCTTTAAAACCCTTCACAGCCAAATTCCGAACCGCATTTTTTCCACCTCCTTCAAAATATTTGTCTTACCTTCATCCCCCGCGTAAGTGACAAAATAAAACCCCTACAGAGGCGTCAAAAGCCTTTTCACACGCCCCCCAACCATCCCTGCAACTCCCCAAAAATAACAAAAAATAAACAAAATTCCCCTCCGCTGTCTTCACCTGAGCCACGTGCTTATGACGGGACCCTGTGGAAAGGGGCAGCCGTCGTGGAGATTTGCACGAATTTGTTTCGTTACTTGGTCAAATGCGCCTTTTCCCTCTTTGTGAAGTTCACGGACGTTCTCCCCCAGGCTCTACAGATGCGTGTGAGTGAGTGTATTGCTGTGCCAACATGTATACATATCAACATCACGGGACATTTTAGCGTCCCACCAGGAAATCAGACGGTGAGCATGTCGCGGTTTAATACACCACAAGCGTTAACCAGGGCTGCCGAAAGTTTTGAACCGCAAATATATGCAAAAAACCAGGCGCTTTGCCCCACCCCTCCCCAACTATCGATGCTATCAGGCTCACCCTCGCGTCGCGTAGTCTTCAGCAGGATAACAAAACAAAAACTGTTACATTCATTGTATCATAGAACAAATATGTGTGTGTGTCCGTGTGGGGAGCTGGCACAGTAGGGGGCACAGGTGGTGCATCGGCCAGGTAATCTCAGTCAGTCAACCCATGGTACCACCTGGGTCTGAGCCGTCACCTCCTGCCAGCGGGCGTTCGACACTTCACGTGGCCTTAAAGTGCACTTAGCCTGGCACGAGCGCCGCGGTGACGTCACCACCACTTAGTGGCGATTATCGGTTGTTGTATGGGGAGCGGTAGTGTAGTGGTTAGCGCGCTGCGCTACAAACCCAGCGAATCGAGTTCGATTCCCACCCACGGCCAACACCGGCGACGATTATCTGGACCGGTCCTGGACCTCCCCCCGGTCGAGTCAGCCTCCAAATGAGTACATGGTGCGGTGTGTAAACTTCGCCACGAGGGAGACAAAGGCGGCCGGGCGTGGTGCTGGTCACCCACCCCCTCGTGCGTCGTGTCGGCCGTCGTAGGTGCTGACAGCACTTTCCCCAACAGTCTGATACTCGGTTAGCCACTATTGGGTAACTATTAACATGCAAATTTGAAGAAAAAAAACTATTATCATCAGGCCAGAGTCTCTAACCCTTGTCAGGTTCAGAGATTGTCTATAATCCTATGAACATGTTAACGAGCAGTAGATGTAGTAGTTCTAAAAACAACGTTTCGCATTCTTCCGGCTGAAATTAAGCCCCGATCATACCCCATTCAGAGTTGCATGCAGGAATCCTTTCAAGCAACAATAATTACCAGTCATCGCGTCGGGTTATTGAGAGCCCTACATCACCATCAGCTGAACGAACGCACGAACACACACACATACACACGCAGACTTACCCATGCAAAGCACTTGATTTCGCAGGCGATTGATCACATTCGCTCGAGGCCGATGTTTTCAATCTCAGCGTCTCTGCCGCTCTGCAGACAAAAGCCTTGGTCCAAGGCCTTCCCTTCGTGATAAAGAATTACAAAACAAAAAAGGCAATATTATAGATCTACAGCAGAGGCTGCGCCCAGCGTACCTCACGGAAACACACGTGGTTGAACGGCTCTGTCTATCCCATGCCTCCGCCTGCAGAGAAATGCACCTGATGACACTTCCGTGTGAAACTCTAAGGCCACAGGTAAATGAAGTTCCAACCCACCTGCTTGGTTTTTTTTTTATCTTGCCCACCTTTCAAATACTTTAGGGGGGGGGGAGGGAGGGGGGTCACATTTTAGGGGCGTGAGATCCTGACTTGTGGGTCGCTGTACGTACGTACGTTGAACTTCTTTCGCACCGTACGTAGCCAACCGTGCTCATCTGAGGTGGGGTTCTGAAGCAAACGACGGTACAGAGAGTCCCCGAGTTACGACGGTCCGACTTACGATATTTCAATCTTATGATCGCGATACGATACGTTCAATGCATGCTAAAAGTTTTTTTTTAATAGCAGATAGGATTGTTTCCTGAAAAACTTTCCATTAAATTGCAGTTCATATAGGTAGGCTAAGAATTTACCTTGTTTTGTACTTTACATTTTACTGTGCAATACAGTATTGTAATTAATGAATACATACAGTATATAGTTTATACAGTGCGGTACTGTAAATTGCTCTGTTTTGCTAAATTATCACCATTCTTTAAGACTCCTGGGTAGGCTGGGACATCTTCGACTTACGATATTTTTTGACTTACGATGGGGTCCTCGTAACGCATCTCCGTCGTAAGTAGAGGACTACCTGTATTTTCAAATCGGATTCCGCCTGGAACCGATCTCCCTTCTTCTTGTAGAAAAGACGGCGGCGAATTTTTGTTTTAAATCCACAGACCGGGAGAAGACGCTACTCAATGGGGCATCTCCTGTTTATAGCCGTGCAGAACCGGTGGTGGGAATTCCACGTTCCCATGACGGGAGCGAGTCTATCCGTAGGGCAACTGCCGTTGACTTCCCCCGAAAAGTGGCACTCATGTTGACATCAACTCCGCAGGCATGATGGGTTGAAGTCAATTCCGGCACCAATGTTTCGAACTCGCAACCCTTCCCGCAGTGATCCACTCTCCCCACCACTGAGCCACGTGGTCGCTTCTACGGGTGTGCGCTTTGTTGTTGTTGTTGTAAATACGAGCAGAAATCTGCTTCTAGATCACTGCGTAAACAAAAAATATGTTTGAGTCTATCGGCCTTAATTGGCGTCAAAAAATAACACCCTCCCCCCCTCTCAAATTTTCTCCAGCAGCAGTCGTGAATGTTGCTCTTGAATGAGATGGACGGAAATACTGCAGCAGCAACAATAACAACAACAACAACACGCTGTTCAAGTTAGACAGAGTTGTTTCACGCGTCTCAGGACACTGTAGGTAAAGAACATCATTAGTGAAGGTGATAGAGGGGGCGGGGGTGGGGGAGCAGGTTCAGGGAAGAGTGGGTGGGGGCAGGGGGAGGGATGAGTAGGTGGGGGCAGGGGGGGGAGGAGTGGGTGGGGACGGGGGGGGAGGGAGGAGTAGGTGGGGGCAGGGGGGGGAGGAGTGGGTGGGGGCGGGGGGGGAGGAGTGGGTGGGGGCTGGGGGGAGGAGTGGGTGGGGCGGGGGGGAGGAGTGGGTGGGGACGGGGGGAGGGAGGAGTAGGTGGGGGCAGGGGGGGCGGAGTGGGTGGGGGCGGGGGGGGAGGAGTGGGTCGGGGCTGGGGGGAGGAGGGGTGGGGGCGGGGGGGAGGATGTGGGTGGGGACGGGGGGAGGGAGGAGTAGGTGGGGGCAGGGGGGGGAGGAGTGGGTGGGGGCGGGGGGAGGAGTGGGTGGGGGCTGGGGGGAGGAGTGGGTGGGGGCGGGGGGGAGGAGTGGGTGGGGGCGGGGGGGAGGATGTGGGTGGGGGCGGGGGGAGGAGTGGGTGGGGGCGGGGGGGAGGAGTGAGGGGTGGGGGCTGGGGGGAGGAGTGGGTGGGGGCGGGGGGGAGGAGTGGGTGGGGGCGGGGGGGAGGAGTGGGTGAGGGCTGGGGGGGGGGGGGTGGGTGGGGGCAGGGGGGGGAGGAGTGGGTGGGGGCTGGGGGGGGAGGAGTGGGTGGGGGCGGGGGGGAGGAGTGGGTGGGGGCTGGGGGGAGGAGTGGGTGGTGGCGGGGAGGAGGAGTGGGTGGGGGCAGGGGGGGAGGAGTGGGTGGGGGCTGGGGGAGGAGTGGGTGGGGGGTGGGGGAGGAGTGGGTGGGGGCGGGGGGGAGGAGTGGGTGGGGACGGGGGGAGGGAGGAGTGGGTGGGGGCTGGGGGGAGGAGTGGGTGAGGGCTGGGGGGGGAGGAGTGGGTGGGGGCTGGGGGGAGGAGTGGGTGGGGGTGGGGGGAGGAGTGGGTGGGGGCGGGGGGGAGGAGTGGGTGGGGACGGGGGGAGGGAGGAGTGGGTGGGGGCTGGGGGAGGAGTGGGTGAGGGCTGGGGGGGGAGGAGGTGGGTGGGGGCTGGGGGGAGGAGTGGGTGGGGGTGGGGGGAGGAGTGGGTGGGGGCGGGGGGGAGGAGTGGGTGGGACGGGGGGAGGGAGGAGTGGGTGGGGGCTGGGGGGAGGAGTGGGTGAGGGCTGGGGGGGGAGGAGTGGGGGGGGCTGGGGGGAGAAGTGGGTGGGGGCGGGGGGGAGGAGTGGGTGGGGGCAGGGGTGGGGAGGAGTGGGTGGGGACTGGGGGGAGGAGTGGGTGGGGGCAGGGGGGGGAGGAGTGGGTGGGGGCAAGAGGAGGGGGGGCAACACGAGAGAGAGAGAGAAGGCAGCTGCACATTGATAATGTTTAGCTCTTTATCGATCCACTGCTGGATGAAGACTGGCCTTCCCATGCCGTGTCAGTCATTGCGAGGTGTGGCGGGGGGGGGCTGTTTTGATCGTAGGGAAGACGAAGAGTTCAGATGACACTCGCCACTGATGTGAGCCGTGCAATGCTTAGATAAAAAGCCTAACAGTGCGAAAGTCATCGCACTGTTTAAATAACTATTTACTTAAATTGTATCACAATTAGGTGGCCTCCAGAAACAATAATGAAGTGAGTGCAAACAGTCAGCGTGCGTGAAACATTTATTCGATGCGGCATTGGGTCACAGCGTCCCCAGTTCTAAAGAGCGCTGAAGTAAGTCAGTGGCTTTGATTCATAACATCTCACGAGGCAACGCAAATTTCCATTTGGCATTTTAAACACACGCGAAACAACATCGCAAATACAAAGGAAAACAATGAAACGCGGAAACAATGGACGACAATGTTTCACATTTGGAGTGTGACCGAGGGTCGAGCTTTAATTAAAATTGTAAAAAAAAAAATAACCCGTAAAAACAAAGTTTTTCACTCTAAATCCTTTATATGTGTGGCGGCTAGAGTCCTCTCGTCCTCTGGCTTGAGATGGCTGCCACCTATGGGTCAGATGATTGTCTGCCAGCATTAAGCAATTGGTAATTAAATATTTTTTAAAAATTCCTTAAACAGTGTAAAATTTTGGAAAAAAAAATCCACGAAAATTAATTGTCACGCACAACGAGCCTGTGTGGAAAATGTCAGCTCGATTGGATCACGGGAAGTGGGTTAAAAAACGACCGAAAGATTTGCACGGTCGTAAGCAAGCAAGCAAGCAAGTGATCTTAATATAAAGGATTTAAAAAAGATAGACTTAAACGGGTCATTATCGTATTAATGTTGTGGGTTTTACTCTCCAACACACCCGGTGTGCTGTACGAGTGTAGTGGGTTCTAATCAGACCGGAAGTCAACACGTTTATTCTCTAACACAGCCAACACTACTCAACGTTCCGAGGTTAACTATGTACATTACAGGTTAACTACATAAGGGGCCGTCCATAAATGACGTCACGCGATTTTGGACGATTTTTGACCCCCCCACCTCCCATCGTCACACGGTGTCACAAAAAGTCAGACCCCCCCCTAAAATATGACGTCACAAAGCTCTGCCCCCCCCCCCCCCCCCCCAAAAAAAAAAACATGCTTCAAATCGCTTTAAACGACTGTCATTGTAGTGCGTATTTAATGTGGCGCTGCACTCTGATGTTGTAGGAGAAAACATTTAATAAAAAGTCTATTTAATTAAGTAGAACGTGTTGACTATATTCATTTAAAGTTGCGCATTTTGATGTGACGTCACATTTCTCAGCCCCCCCCCCCCCCTCGTCACACATCGTCACAAATGCCTGACCTCCCCCCCCCTAGGTGCGTGACGTCATTTATGGACGGCCCCTAAGGTGGTGGCCACCGTTCCTTCCCACCTAACCAATTGAACAGATTCTCTATACGGTTGAACAACAACAGCCGACAAGCCCTTGTGTCTCCGCGTACTCAAGAAAGAAGACAGACGCTGTCTCCCCCGACATACCTGGTCTTCACCTGAGGACGGCTGCTTGCGTTGTGGCCGAAACGTCGTGAGAATTGTATTTTTTTTTATTATTTCCATTCTACGTGACTTTACCGAAAGAACCAAGAAGATGAATCCCTGCAGTCACGAAAATTTTAAATCAAAATTGTACTTTATAATGTTTTATTTTTATTATTTTATTATTTCCATTCTACGTGACTTTACCGAAAGAACCAAGAAGATGAATCCCTGCAGTCACGAAAATTTTAAATCGAAATTGTACTTTATAATGTTTAAATTTTATTATTTTATTATTTCCCTTCTACGTGACTTTACCGAAAGAACCAAGAAGATGAATCCCTGCAGTCACGAAAATTTTAAACCGAAATTGTACTTTATAATGTTTTAATTTTATTATTTTATTATTTCCCTTCTACGTGACTTTACCGAAAGAACCAAGAAGATGAATCCCTGCAGTCACGAACATTTTAAATCGAAATTGTACTTTATAATGTTTTATTTTTATTATTTTATTATTTCCATTCTACGTGACTTTACCGAAAGAACCAAGAAGATGAATCCCTGCAGTCACGAAAATGTTAAATCGAAATTGTACTTTATAATGTTTTATTTTTATTATTTTATTATTTCCCTTCTACGTGACTTTACCGAAAGAACCAAGAAGATAAATCCCTGCAGTCACGAAAGCTTTACATCGAAATTTAAGATCGAAGAAGACGACTTTTTTTCGGGTCG